TCCACTGTTGCGGATGGTCTGAAACGCATTGGGAAGGTGAAAAAACTCGACAAGTGGGTGCACAATTTGAGTGACCGGCAGAAATTGGCACGTCTCGAGGTTTCTTCTTCACTGCTTTTGCGCAACAGAAACGACCCGTTTTTGGACCGAATTGTCACCTGTGATGAAAATTGGCACTTGTCAACAGGAAAGGGTCCGATTCTTTTGCATGACAACGCCCGCCCACACGTTTCACAAATCACTATCCATAAATTGAACGAATTGGGGGTTGAAGTTCTACCTCACCCGCCATATTCTCCAGACCTTTCACCAACCGACTATCACCTTTTCAAACATTTTCAGAACTTCCTTGCTGGAAAATACTTCATCAATCAGGACCAGGCAAAAAAGCCTTCGTGGATTTCGTGGATTCTCGACCACCCAGTTTTTTCTTTGATGGGATTTATCGACTGGTGTCACATTGGCAAAAGTGTGCTGATTCGAATGGTGCTTATTTCGATTAAATCCGATGAGTATTAAGAAAGTTATGATCGTTTAAAGTGAAACACAAAACGCTGAGAACTTTCCGGACAACCTAATATTTCCCGAAAGAAATTCAATTATTGTTTATGCAGCTCTTCGGACTACTGATATTGGTTGAAGGTTTTGGAAGCCGTGCTGACACTTTGTACCCCCGAAGGCTCTACCGAAAAAGGTAGCATAGTATTGTGAAACAATTTAGCTTCCAAAGGCTACATCTCACATAGAAATAGGGATTCTTTCGTAGCGGAGACACGTTGGTTCAGAAAGGCGACGTCAGAAATGCCATCTGATGAATGCTTGCAGCGCGTATTCGGAAGTAACTGCACGGTACGAATACAAATGGGAAAAATTCGTTCGTTCATGCAGATGTGAAATGATACACGTCATTACACCGTATACCTTTGAACGATACATTATGATTTAGACGGTGTTTGGGATGACGAGGAACATATCTGACAGCTTCCTAACTAACACCTGACTAATCAAGTGTACACCAACTGAATATCACTCATATCGACGACAAACGTATAAGCTACAATCATGCGTTTCTCCCATAGGAGGGACCTAACAAATGACTGATTACGAATGGAAATTTGGAGGTATTACCTTAGGAGGGGACATTCTAATGACTCCAAGTGCAAGAAAGAGAATTACCTCAAAGACAAACTGTACATTCACTTCAGACGATCCAAGCCATAAAGGAGAAGAGCGAGTTGAGAGCCGTACAAATGTAAACTCTCATCAGGCGCAGTTACGGGGTGGGGGGCATTTTTCTTCCCACAGATGTGTCGACCATCTAGGGAGCCTTTTCTTGAGTTGACACGTTTTACCATGGTGGCTAGACGAGCTTGCTCCAGCTTCACAAGAGTTCACAAGTTTCACCAGAGTGAGACTTGTAAACCGGAAGTAGTGAAGCAGTGAAAGCAAAATGCCCCCCGTCGCCGAACTTCACCCTCTCATCACTCGAAAGGGCGTAGAAATTGGACTGAGCGATAGTGCTAACTGGGTCCCGTCTTCCGACTCCGCCCACGCTGCCGCACGGCAGTCACATGCCTGACCATGGCCAAACGCGCTACTTGTCTGCGCCCTCTCACTTTCGGTGGTTCTCTGCTTCGTGCTCAATTGCGCCGATACTAAACTCCCGCAGCGTAACAAGAACTCAATGGTAGAGAGCAACCAGAAGTGAAACGGCACGTACAAGTAGCGCGTTTAGCTGTGTTGGGCGTGTGATCGGCCGTGCGGGCGAGGTATGGAGACGGCTTCCGCGTATCATTGCCTCCGGCCCCGTCCCCGTGCATTGTTGAGCGGAGAAAAAGGCATGCTATTAGCTGCGGATCCACTCACAACGCATATGGCAATGAGCAGGACCTTCGAAGGTGAGTATACAGTTTGCTTCGAAGGAAGAATCTGTGCCAGTCTCTAACATAAGAGAAGGTGGGAGAGAACTCCAGGGTGAGTGACTAGTTCCAGGTAGGGCTATTCTATTCAGATGACGTTGATTCCAGTTTTGTACAAATACTCCTTCAAATGCCCCCCCACCCCCTTTCAGAGTTGGAAGCGCTGCAAATTCAACAGAGTCTATCAGCTCT